AATTGACAGAGCATGTTGTAATGAAATTACAGAACAAGAACAACTTGCAACGGGTGGTTTTGAAATTCCTTTGAAGGGGGACTTAAATGTAACAAGTAATGAGAAAGATATGGAGAAAGATAAGGGCACACAAATGGAATTGATGGATGACTTATTCCCAAAAGGAGATATACAAATATACAATATACAAAAGAGCTCTGTTAAGGTTCTGAAGGACTTTATTAGAAGTGACAAACAAAAGGACAAACTTTACTTATTAGATATATATAAAAGAAATCTGCTGAGGTTCTGAAAGATTTTTGGCTTGAAACACAGATGAACGGAAAACTAGCTCTGGGGTTAAAAAGGGTTAAAAGATATTTTTAAAAACTCAGGGAAGGAATACAAGGTTGTCTTATTTGAGGATGGCTAAAGGAGAAAAATAGTTACACCTGATTGCTGATAAAGAACGACTGACTAAGCATTTGGATTTATTTTTTTTCTAATTCAGTAGATGAGATATGGGATGAAGAGACATGTTGTATTTAGACATAGTCATAAGCTATTAAGATTATAATAGCTTGCTGGGATGAAGGGGGAAGTTACTTCTTTCTTTTTTCTTTTTCTATTTTTCTTTTTCACACTTTTTTCTTTTCTTATGTATTTTTCTGTTTATATTTTGTAGCCTGTATTAACTTTTATTCTTTACATTTATAATTCTTAATAAAATTATTTGAAAAAAAATTGGATTTCTACACTGAGAATGAGGTCTCAGTGGCCTAAATGTCCTCTTCAACTCTATGATACTATGAAACAACACATTATTTTAACTATGTTTCTGTGGTTTGCGTTCTCTAGAATTGTCACTCACAGTTCATTGTTCATACTTGGGGAAAAGAGATTAAAGCTCCCATGTCAACTAATAAGAATGGTCAATCAATGAGGGGAATCAATCTCACTGAACATTCAAATTTTACTCACATCAAAGTACAATCTTTGTTAGAAATCAGTTGCTGGCCAAAATCAGAACTGAAACCAATCTATTCTTATTGTTGTTTCTAATTAGAAGCTGGGTTCACATATACTGATAAGCTTTAACATGGCTTGATTCATTTTGTCTTAGCCTGAACTTAGCCAATGTTGCTAAACAGAGTTTATTACTTACCATTTTACACAAAACCAGCCAACTCAAGCTTATTCAATAAAACAGAGTTAAACAAACCAGAGTTTACCATTAATGTGCAAGTAATAACAAATTCCATATTGTTTGACAAACAGTATCTTTTTTATGCACATGCCATTATCTTTTTAAGCTTGGTAACTAATTGAAGATGAAATGACAAAACAATTTTCCACATAGTTATATACACTGAGTGATACAGGATGCTTTTGAAATGAGATGAATTATAACTTTTTCTAAGGATATCCCACTTATTATTCCTTAAAAATCAACATAATGTAATACTTACAATGTCTGCTATAAAGTAGCTGTATGCTACTGAGATGAATGTCAAACTTATCATATGCTCTTGACATAATATCTTCAAGAGCACTTTCACCAACTTTGATGTCTGACAAGGTACACCGACTTTTACTACTCATCTTAGAAAAAAACAAAACAGAAATAGTCACGCTTTAAAATACATCCTCCAAGAATGTATTACAAATAAAGAAAAGTGCTCTGTACAGATGAATCAGGGAACATCCCTGCATTACCCTACATACAACATTGTCCTCTATGCAGAACAAAATCAGGAATCTACCCCCTCCATCTCATCTTGCACAATATACTCGCTCTTTGCCTCCTCCAGCATTTCTCATTCCATTAATGCCTTGCCCCCACCCCTTGCACAAAGTGACTTCAGCTGCTCTGGGGGGGGGGTTCCCCCTCTACAGTTAAGGTTGATCAGCCTGGTAGGTTGGATTGAATCCATGTCCAGAGATTTCCCATTTCTATACTACTGAACTTTTGAAAATATCTAAATTGCCTAGTACTACTAAGTCTTCAAATTATATCATCACGTGGAAATTTTCAGAAACTGTGGAAATTAATGTATATGATTTAACTGAATAACAAAAAGTTTTCTGTGTATGTATTAAAATAAAATCTCTTTTGAATCAAATCTGATTCCTAGTTAATTCATCGTCATCCATTTTCATGGCAACTGTGCAGAAATGGTTTGTCACCATCTTCCCCCTCCCTCCTCCCAAGTCTAATTTATAGCCATGATATTCCCAGGAGATCTCCCAACAAAGTAGTATCCAGGCCTGAAATGAACTCTACTGAGCTCAGATGTCAGCCAGTGGCTGCAAAATAAATAACATAAACATAAAATATAAGCAATTTATTGCTAATTGAAGGGGTTACCTTTAAATGACCTAGATCCAAAAGTAACTTATTTGATGTAGCTTCATAAAATCCATTTTGTGGAACAATGACATAGGAAGACATAAGATTTATTTTTAAATCTAAGACCTTCTGTGTTTCTATAACATACACTAATCCTAGAAAAAAAAAAATTAAAAGATTGCATTAATAACAGTTCCTTGGGCCAGATCCTGTTCCTTACACCATGATAGCTGTTGCAATACGAATTCACAGAATGCATATAGATATAGCTATATGCATTCTGGGAATTCACACCACACTGTATATATGTCCGTGCGTGTGTGTGTGTGTATATGTGTGTGTGTGTATATATATATATATATATATACACACACATATACATATATACATATATTTTTTATATATATATAAAAAAAAAATCCAGAGTTTACCTGTAGCTGTCTTTTCACGAAATTCTTCCAATTTTGTTAAGGTAGCTGAAGTTATTTGCTCTAAATGAACATCACTTGGAGGTCGGAAGAAATCAACTAAACTATTCACAGTCATCTGATAAGTATATAAAAGAACAGTGAAGTATATTCTCAATGCAGAATTTGCTTTTTTAACCTAATTTGTAGAATAAGTATTTTCTACTTACTGCATCATATATTATTTCCAAAGGCTGTGACTCTATTATTAGTTTCTGATTGCAATTCTCATCTAAGGGATTGGTTTCAAACATTATTGTGAAGAGCGATGCATTGTGCAGTGAATGGACTGTGTGAGAGGAGAGCAGACACGGTACTGTTTTTTTCTGAGCCATACCCTGCACTTCAAATGCACTTACACTTGATTCAAATCTGAAAAAAAAAAGAACACAAAGGATATATACACATAGACACACACAGAATTCTACTATTCAAAAGAAGTTACTTTAAAGTTTATGCTCTATGCTCTCATAATGTAATAAGCAGGAGATTACACTAGAAAGTATGAAGGATTTAAACTATTTTTACCAATTACAGTTTCTCACATCAAGGTATAATGGAGTTCTTTGTATAGAATCAAAAATTTTAAAGAACTGTTTCCATGACTGGACACTTTTACAATGAACGAGCATGCAAGTCCCATCATTTGTCTTTCTCATTCTGGAAGCAAATTTATAACATGGCCTAGAAATTTACCACAAATAGTTTCAATTATCTCTAATGCAGTTCACTAAGCTTGAATAAAAGACAGGTTATAAATACGTTTGTTATTTTTAAAAAATAACCAAATGATTTAAAATTCATATTTTATATATTTATGCAACATGTACCACATTAGATCTATATGCAGAAGACTTTCAAAGTAACGTGGGAACACAGAAAAGAACTCACAAATATATTGTGTACTTGTTAACTCCCATGTGAATTAACTCTAAAAGGACTGTGAACAGCTATGCTAAGTAGGAGCATTGCCTCATATTTAGATCATCATCATCATCCACCTTTTTATACACACACACACACACACACACAACTCAAGGGGGCAAACATACCTAATACTCCTGCCTCCTATTTTTCCCCATAACAACAACCATGTGAGGTGGGCTAAGATGAGAGGAGTGACAGGCCCAAAGTCACCCAGCTGGCTTTCATGCCAGAAGGAGATCTAGGATTCACAGTCTCCAGGTTTCGAGGCCAGCATGAAACTGGCTCTCTTACTGACATATGATCCATATCTAACTCTGCCTTATTTATCTGCATTCTACTTTAGCAAAGTGGACCAAGATAAAAGATTCCTGTATGCCAGTAAGAATTCCAAAGCAATTTTCAGAGCAGATTATACAAATCTATGTGTAACAAGATCTATTCATCCAATCCCTGGATAGTACATCTGAATGTGACTGATAAATTATTTATACAGGATTGTTTAATGAAAATAAACTGTAATACATGAAAAAAATCTGAAGTAAACTTATGCAGCGTGTTTGATTAGGTGTGTTTTGATTATTGCTAAAACAATTCAAAAGCAAGATAAAATATCCTTAAGAAAATAAGGCAGAACAGTCTAAGATAAAATATTATTCATAGTAATTATTCATAGTTAGACCACTTCCTTGAGATTTCCATGAGAGGAGCTGGAAATGTAAGGAAAAATTATTGGCCTAAGGCATAGATTTTCCAATTTTTTATTTGTGTGTGTGTGTGTTAGTTTTTGTTTTTTTGTTAGAGACTATAACCCTAATACTGGATCCCTATAATTTTCTGTTTTTTTCAATGTCAAATTCCATTCAATATTTCAACTGTTCTTCTCTAAAGCTACCAGCAAAACTAGATTTACACTTCACTTATTTGTTACATTTAGTATATCCTGCTTTTCTTCCAGGAGATCAAAGCTGGATAAGCTATGTTCCCTCCTCTAAACATTTTCCTCAGAACAACTAGACCAGTTCCTAATTCCCTGATCAAAATCCAACAATTAAGCTACTACGCCTTAATGATTCTCAGTTTCTTTAAACAAAGATCAAATATCAAATAACAAGAATGAAACATATTTTGCATGTCTCTTGCGGTTCTTTTTATTTCTTCTTGAATTTTTTGTAACGCCCTCAAAAGCTTATCTACCATAAAAGAACTTTCAAGGTTCTTCATCTGAGGAGGAAAAACAAACCCTGAAAAATGATGGGAAAAAGCAAACAAACAGCAGAAAACCAGAAGGAAAATCAGAGGGACAGAGCAAAGCCAGGGACAGAAAGAAAACACTCCTCAAAGCTCACACATGGCCACTCACATAGAGAAAGGCTCCCAACATTTTTTAACTATAGTTCTATTTACCTAAATGCCTACCTTATTGCTTCAGCACCAGGGCGTTGAGTTACTGTTGTACGGAGATCAATTAATGCAAGTTTTATCAGCTCAGGCTTCTCCTTGTTTTCCCTGATTAGAACTGTCATGCTTATTAATTTTACATAAAGTTTCACAGCTTCATACTATGAAAATTAACAAAAAAATATCATGAACTGAAGAACATTTTAACCAAACATTAATGATTACATTTGAAATTCAGAGTATTAATCATTACATGTAAAATTCAAAGTAACTGAATACATAACACCAAATGTGAGAAAAATGCCTTCCAATAGAAGATCTTTTCTAAGTTTAATTATTTAAAAATATTTTTTTAAAATTATTAATTATAATAATTTAATTTTAAATAATTAAAAAAAAGTCAGTTATATTCTAACCCTAACCCTAACCCAACACAGATAATCCCTCCCCTCCTCAGAGAAGATTATCCCTTCCTCTAATGACAAGCAATTAAGCTCAGATAAGCCTTATGTCTGCACCAATGAATATTTAAAGTTCTAGGAAATGGATTTAGGACAAAGGCCTACAGGCCCATAGCTTAGAGCTCTCTATCCCAACTAGAGACGTCTGGCTAATTTACCTTTCAGTATGTAAAAAAAAAAAAATTACTTAATGCTTAGGTCTATGTATTTGTATTCTAGATATTTTTGTCCATTATAAGATACCATTTCTTTGAAAAGTCCAATGCTTGTTGACCTACCCTAACCAAATCACACCCACCGTTTTCGGCAATGTTGGGTCGACAGCTGTTTCACTATAACCGATTGCTGCATAGAGTTTATCTTTTTCTTGTGGAGTCATAAACTGTTCAATACCTGCAATATCAAACTAATATTACTACATTCAATAAAAACATTTTTCATACTGTAGCATTCTATAAAAAACATACTATATAAGGGTTTAAGTTTTTTACAATTACAGCTTTGTAAAATGCATAAATCTACTTCATTAGTTGAAGCAACTTTATCTTTTCTAATATCTAAAGGTACTGTGATAAGACACTTTAGTATTTAATCATAGTGAAAGCTCATTCCAGCACTATGGAAAAACTGCCACATTTATACCTTTTGGTTCTTGTTTTGCTTCACTGCTTTTTCCTCCAGACCATCCCCATATCCAACTAAACCAACCACCAGAGTCTTCATCATCTTGTTTAGCACCTGGTCTGAAAATCTTTAATCCAGCTTTAATAGCCTATTATGCAAAGCAAAGCACAAGTTAATATTAGTTACTATATAACTTCAAATAGTTTTTTATTGTATCAGTTATAAAGAAAACCTAGCAAGGTGCCTGAAGAAATGCAACCAAATCTGAGCTCCTATTTTAAAAAGGTAAATTTGAAGCACGAGTACTATTTTCAAAATATAAATTCATAGTAGTAAAAAGTAGTAACTGCTGTTTTAACTCTGTGCCTAAGATTAACTAACTCTGTTTAAGGAGCTTCATCTTTTGAAATGCATATTCGATAGTTGATGAAGAATTTAGGCAATCCTGTTCAAGTTACTGTTACATACAGAAATCCAAATTAAAATATTCACAACTGACAGATGACTCTCCAGCCTCTGCCTGAGCATTCAACCAAGAGGAGTTCACCATCTCTTTGGCTAATTTGTTCCACTGTTGATTTGCTCTTTCTATGGGAGATGTGTCTTAACGTTCAGTCAGATCCTGCCTTCTTAATTACTTAGATCTACTATATGTTCTGCCCTCTGGGGTGTTAGAAAACAAGATTTGCCCTACTTCTATTTGATTTTCTTCAGATGATTGAAGAATGCTATCATATACTTTTTCAGTATTTTTTCCCCTCCTGGCTAAACAGACCTCTCAATCTCTCTTATTTTTAGGCTTTAATTATTCTTGTTGCCTATCTCTAATCCTGTTCCAGTCTGTCTTAGCGCTTAAGGTATGGAGACTTGTTTTGCAGCAATGTCATACTCCTGACTCATATTCAGTTTGGAATCAACTATGGTTCCAAAAGTAGAATCATGCAATCGTAGATTGGAAGGGACCATAGAGGTCTTCTAGTCCAACCCTTTGCCCAATACAGGAATCCTCATATCATCCTAGACAAATGGCTATCCAATCTTTTCTTGAAAACTTCCAGTGATAGAGTACCCATGATTTCAGAAAGGGGGTTATTCCACTGTTTAATAGTTCTCACAATCAGGAAATTCCTCCTAATTTCAAGTTTGGATCTTTCCCTGTAAACCTTTCACCCATTGGTTCTTGTCCTATCCTCAGGCACTATAAAGAATAAATCCATGGCCTCCTTCCTGTGACAGCCCTTCAACTATTGGAGACTGCTATCATGTCTCCCCTTAGCCTTCTCTTCTTTAGCATACCAAGTTTATTTAATCACTTTTCGCAGGATTTAGCCTCCAAGCCTTTACCATCTTTCTTACTCTTCTCTGCACTCTTTCCAGTTCCTCAAAGTCTTTTTTTTGTATTATGGCAACAGCAACTGGACATGGTATTCTAGGTGTGGTCTGATCAATGCAGCAGAGTGGTAATATCACTTCCTGTGATCTTGATGCTATATTTCTATTGATGCAGCCCAAAACTGCACTGGCTCTTTTGGCAGCTGCATCACACAGCTGGCTCATGCTTAATCTGCAATCTACCAAGACCAGATCTTTCTCATCTTCTGCTACTGCCAAATGAAACAACCCCATCTATATTTGTTTCCTTTTACAGTTTGTAGTTCTCTGTTAAATTTCATTCTCTTCTTTTCAGCACATTTTTCTAACCAATCAATATCAAGATGGTTACAGATGAGTTATGATCTGCTCTAGAATCTGAATTAATAGTTAAGGAGTTGTTGTTATTGTTGCTTTTTGTATTTTGTGGCATGATTCATGATTTCATAAAATAAATCTTTACAATGTAGGGGATACCCAAGAAGGTAACAAGATAGCAGCAGGGAAGCAAATGAGAAAGCCCTTCCTGCCCATTAATGCATCGAAGGGAACTGTGATCACATCCTTCGCAACCTTATTAAGAACAGATTTATGCCCCAGGGCATCAGGAATCCTCTCTCACTCTTCAAGACTTCATCTGTTACAAGGGAACATTACATTGGGCTTCCCCTTCTCTTTCTCAGAACTCCAGCTCAAGGAATGTCCTGGAGCAGAGAGACAGGAAATCCAGAAGAGCCAGCTGGATCCCTTGCCATTGCCATGAATCTCTTTCAATCAGCATGTGCCCCCTAGTTGCAAATATTGTCATCCAGATCCTGGAGTTCTTAAATACCCTATCAGCCAAGGTAAACAAACTCAGAATGCCTTTAAGGTTTTTATAATGCACAATAATTAAATGGAGAAAAGTCCAATTAAACCTTATTAAGCAGCTCCTGACAATGGCCAGGCAGTTCCTTCCTCAACTCCTGATGGGATCGCTACAAATATTTCACACAAAATGCATGTAGGGATGCCAAAAACAGCCCACTCATCTCATGAATTCCAAACCTCTCAGGTGTTATTGCATTATACAGAGATGATCATTTCACAAGACAATATAGAAGTCTCTGACCCTATTTTTGCCACCCCAGAGCTATGGACCTAGACTCGATCCAATTTCTCCCTACCCACTAACAGATGAAAAATACTTTCCTCATCCCACTTTTCTGCTGTAGACCCCAAGGCTGACTGCCCAGCTATAGTAACTCCAAAGGAAAAGATGCTCATATTCTGGGTAACTGTAGGAGTACAGAGATAACCTTGCAGAAGGAATGCAAGAACGGTTATGTAAACACCAGCTCAGCCATGAGAAAGAGGAGAGTGAAAAAGAAACTCAAAATTAACCTCACTTGATTCTCCTTGGTATAAGAGGGGGCAGAGGGAAATTCTGTCAGACTTTCAAGATTCTGTTATTATACCCTAAAACAACAATGTATGTTCCAGTATTCTGATATCTGTTTCCAAACCTGGCCTACCTTAGAGGGCTGACAGTAATACTTCAAGAACTGCAGTCACCTCATCAAAGCTTCAGAAGATCAAGGAGGGGAGATGCATGCCTTTCAGCACCAGCACTGCTACAATACTCAGATGCAGCTACACAAAAGAGAGAGATTCCTATATCACCCACACTCTCTCAAAAGTTCCAGCTGCCATATGCAATTTAAGGGAGGGGGGTCCACAGGAGCCACATATACCAGAAACCCCCATTAGGAACTTGCAACAACACCAAGGAACAAAGCCACATGTCTATCATACCTATCACTCCTCAAGAGAAACAGCTACCCAATACATCCTCAGGAATGTCACTGAAGACACAAAAGAAAAAGCTAGCCAATGCATTCACTGGAATATAATTGGAGCTAGCCATACCAGAATCCACCCGAGAGGTATGGTAGGCCACTTAGATCACCTTGATTTCTACACACACATCCAGGTTGTCAGAAAAATACATCTCCATCCTGCTGTATGTAGACAATACAGTAATACTCTCTAGGTTCCCTAAAAGATTTAGAAGAACGCCTAGGAGCCTTGCTCAGTATTAAAAAGAGGATTATGTGGAAATAAACTACCATAACACCAAAGTCATGGCCTTTAAAACTAAAGTCATGGCCTTTATCAAGAGACCAAAGATACATTCTTGATATATAAATGGGAACAGAAATAAGCAGGTTCAATGCTTAAATACCAGGGGGTGATTTTCCATTCCTCTGGTTCTAGGAAGGGCGATGGCAGCTATGTTGCCCCCAATACCCAAATAAGTACTTCCACCATTCTAAAATTATTCTGATAAAAAAGAGGCTTCTACATACCTGTAGCCATTAAATTACTGAAAGCAAAATTACTGTCTCAACTTACAAAGTTTCTACCCTTCTGTCTCTCTAGAGCTTGTGCAATTCTAATTCTTGAAAGCAGTATTTGAGGTACCCTTCTGTGTTGCTAATGACAATCTGTGACTGGAGGAAGATCTGGTAAAAGTGGAAGCCAAAGTATGGTTGTCCATACTCAAATTTTCACTAAGAATATCTTCATTCCCAAATGATTTAATACCCCTACCACTGAAGAATGGATAGCAGTCAACCAGGAAACAAACCTTGCTGGCCAAACTGTTATAACTTGCCCCCCTCACCCCAATACTTTCCCTGAGCTAAGAGCGATCCAGTGCACTCCTGGGTAATGAATGTAGAACACAAAACAGACCTAGTCGAGGCTCTAAACCTTTCCATTTTTAAAAACCTAAGGTACACAATAAAACTGGCTGCACATCTTACAGAAGGGCCTTCACTCTGGCTCATTTGACAACCTTTGGCTGTGTTAGAAGAAACAGACAGGATCCCCTTCCTGGAATATCTCTGCACTTGCGACGGTGGGTAAGTTGAAACCACTGAACACATCCTCCTTGTCTTATTTTACAGAGACATCTATGCTACCCTCATTCTCCCACTACCTACCAGGTTACCAGGTTATTCAGACCAATTCTACACCTGCCTACTACTCTCTGACTCCAAACCATTACCAGGTTCTGTGAAATACAATGCAAAATCTGCCAGGAGTCAAATATCAGCTTAGAACTGATCAAGCTGGACACAGCCCATGCCTTATTATTATATTAACCTCCAATTATACAGTTTACAGCTTTTGTTGATACAGATTATTCTTTTAGTTTTTTATATAGTATGATATATACAGTATTCATTCATCAGTTTAATTAACTCTGCCACTTTTTACAGTTTTCAGTTTTATAGCAGTCTTACAGCTTTGATTTCCTTATCTTTTAACTTTATAGTCACTTTTGTATAATTTTTAGACCTAGACTGTTTTTATGTTATAAATGTTAATTTCACAAGTCTCTATAGTTCTACATTGTACTTGTCAAAGGCTGAAATAAGAACATTGTATTTTATACAGTGTAGTTTACAAGACATTTACCTCAAATTCTGCCTGTTGTCTTGCTAGAGTGATGTTGAATATATCTAAAGTCTTCTCTAGTTCCTATAAAGAAAAGTAAAAGTAAAATGTTACCTACTACACAAAGTTATTCAAATGTATTTCTACAGGTAGTCCTCAGTTAACGACAGCATTTGGGACCAGAGTTGCCATCGCTAAGCATGTGGCCATAAAGCACGACATCATGTGACTGCATCAATTACAGATGGCAGTTCTGGCGGTCCCAGCTGCCATCATTAAGCAAGGACCGCGCAGGTCATTAAGGAAGGACCTCAGTGACCATGACTTCCAACTTTCTGCTGGCTTCCCATTGACTTTGCTTGTGTGAAGTGGGCAGAAAACGTGAGAAATTGTGATCACGTGACTGTGGCTCGCTGCAATGTTGTAATCATGAGCTGGGAACCGAGTCACAAACACGACTGCGGGGACACTGCAACGGCTGGAACTCTGAGGACCGTTCATAAGTCCCGCCCCATTCTGGGCCGCCGCAAGTTCAAAAGGCCACTGAATGAATGGACATAAGCCAAGGACTACCTGTAGTAGTATTTTCAACAATCAAGATCCACAAGTTGCTATAGCATATCCTCTACTCTTGTCAAAATACTATTATTCAGGACTTTAGCCAATCTGAAGCAAGAATCTTGGCATCTTCTTAGGAACTTGAGAAAAATATTATATACCACTAGAGAGTTTCCATTTTGAGCTGACATATTCAAATCTGAGCAGTTAACTGCTATACTGTACAACAGACAACCTGCAACCCCTATGTCACAGGCACCCCACCACCACTCCTAGAATGAATGGAACCAATATTTTTACTCTGTTTGGAGGCCTTAATCTTGGAGGTTTAGGGTATCTATTTTTACCCATTAAAAATTCCAACCCAAAATGTGAAGCAGATTTTTCTTGTTCTGAAGGGTTAAGGGGCAAAAGGGGTGTCTTAGGTCTTGCAGAATTAAAACTGGGAGAAGAAGATTTTTCCTTATTCCCTACCCAGGTCTCTGCTATGCACACATGGTTGATTCCTCCACAATTAAAATTTTGGCATTCAAAATAAAGAGTAGAAGACAACCTGGCAAGGGAAAAGGAACCATTCAACTGGGGAAAGAACCTGAGAAAGGAAAATACACCACCTCCTGAAAAAATGTTCTCATTCCAGCCACACTGGACAACTTCCACCCAGTGGATTATCTAAGTCTCTTACAGTCAGAGTTCATGCCTGTGAATGGGATTGAAATCACACTTGCTGTTCTGATGGATAACCTGCAACATGACCTGGATGGGGGAAGGGGGTCCTCCTGTTTTTTTGGGAATTCTCAGATATGTTCAGTACCAATGATCATGATGTTCATTGGTACTGCTTGTGAGAGTTGGGAGTAGGTGTTACCATTTTACAGTGGTTCCACCACTTCCTAAGTGGGTGATGTTAATAGTATTAGGGATAGAGAGGAGAAGTTAGTAATAGCATAGATTCCAGATCATGGAAAGTAATTCATCCCCTCTACCCTGTCCTGGTCAGGCCCATTTGGAATACCAGGGCCAGTAACCAACTGCAGCAAGTTCATAGGAGGGCTTCCAGGATGGTGAAGGGGCCAGAAAGAAAGCCTTGTGAGGAGCAGTTATATATTGGATATGTTTAAGCTATAAAAGAGACAACTGAGGGGACAGCATTCAAATATTTGAAGGGGATGCTACACTAAATTATGAATTTTCCTTTGCTGGAGGTTTTCAAAGGCTGGATGATTATCTGCCAGACATGTTCAGGTAGAACCTGCACTGATCAAGGGACTGAACTAGAAAACATCTATGATCTCTTCCAACTTCCTGATTCTATTATCTATATGAAACTGCTGTTAAGTTTTGGGGTAAGGTATCATCAATATGCTAATAATACCCAGCTGTACATCTCCAGGCCAAGACAAAGATGTGGTGGAGGGCCTGGAGGCTGAGGATGGGAAAAAAACAAGCTGAACCTTATTGGCAACAAAACAGAGATGCCATTCATCCAAAAACCATCTGGCTCTCTGTTATCTCCTGTACTGATTCTGGAAGGGACTGCAAAAGCATGGTCCATGAATTAGAGGTTCTCTTGGATTCATAGCTATTGCTGGTTCTGCAGGTAGAAGATCTAGCTAAGGGAACCTTCACCCGGCTTCAGCTAGTGCACCAAAATTTAGAGTAGGCAGTCTTGGGGACAGTAACTCATGCCCTTATTACTTCTAGATTGGACTGCTGTAATGCATTTTACATAGGACCAACTGAAATTCAAAAACTGCAAGTGATACAGAATGTATCAGCCTAGCTGGTGGAAGGTGAGGGCTGTTATAGACACATAAACTAGTTTTGCAGGCACTGCTTTGATGATCTATAAGTTTCCAAGTTCAATTCACAGAGCTGTCTTAATCTGTTTGTCCCATCTGGGAGGAGAGGTTACATGAATGCTCCCTCCCAGAGACTGGGGAGGTCTGAAGGCAAACCCCTCTAGGGATGGCCTATAATCTCTGGAATAGCCTCCTCAAGGAGGTCCAGATGGCAGCGGCACTGCTATCTTTTCAGAAAACATTAAGGACAAAGTTGTTTCACAGGGATTTTAGTGCCACGCAGTTAGGACCACCTGTCCTAGTGGGCACACTGGCACACTGCATGTTGGATTATTCTGTTTGAAATAAATGAAACAAACACTAAATATTGGTGCTATGTGTTTACTCCAACTCCCTTTATGAATATCACTATACCTACATGAACTTTCAATGGCAAAACTTCAGAAAATCCAAAAAGGGGCAAATATTTTTCACCAAATTATAATTATTACTGAATTGGAGCTTGCTTATCCCTTTATGTGCAAAAAACATCCTTCCTCAGCTTCCAACTGATCTTGTTACTGCACCTTACTGTTCTTTTTTCTTCCTATTTATCTCTTCTTGTTGTACAACAGAAGTTGACACATTTCATCTGGCAATTTCTTTCCTTCTACTGGCAGACCTCTTCCAGCCAGAAAGCCATTCTGGAGGATTCTCAGCCATTTGTAACATGTTTTCAGAAAGCTATAGAAAGTTGAGGGGGAATGTGGAATTGGCATAAAGTATGCTTGAAGAGCAGGTGGCAGACACGGCTAGGAGGGCCTTTGCACAGCTTCGTTGTGTACCCATCCCTTGACTGGGAGGCTCTACTCTCACTCACTCATACCCTAGTCACCTCCCAAATGATTTACTGTACAGTAATGGGCTCTACATGGGGCAGCCCTTGAAGAGTATTTGGAGGCTTCAGCTGGTACAAAATGTAGTGGCACAAGCAGTTATACGTGCTCCAAGAACTGCACGTTACACATCTGCTCCGCAAGCTGCACTGGTTGCCAGTTTGCTTCTGGGTCCAATACATGGCATGACACCAGATTATTTGAGGGACCACCTCTCCCTGGTTACATCTACCTGTCCTACCAGGTCCAACAGGAGAGGCGTGTTGTAGGTCCCCTCGACTAGGGAATTTTGCCGGGTGCAACTTAGGAGGAAAGCCTTTTCTGCCAAGGCCCCACTCTGTGGAACATCATTCCCCCCCAAATTGAGACTGGCTGTAACCCTGTTGGCCTCCCAGAAGGCCCTTAAAACTTGGTTTGGTCAACTGGCCTGGAGCCACATAACAGAGTGGAGCCTGCTAGATGGTTCTATGATAGTTAATTGGAAGGTACTCTCTTGTATGTTTTTTCACCACTTTGTTTTTTACCTTTTTAATTTGGTTGTATTTTAATGTTTTTTTTTATGTATTTGGACTCTTTTATTATATACACTACCCACAGTCATTATGTGAGATGGGTGGCTATATGAATGTGATAGATAAATAAATAAAGTATCTTTTTATTTAAGTCACTGATGTATAGGTTTTGGTTACAGTTTATCTTTGGGGCTTAAAACCAGTACCAACTGAAAATAGTATGCTATAAACAAACATGCAATCTAGCATATTAGACTATTAACTTGGAAAACAATTATTTTTATTGCTTGTGATAAATATAATTTAAAACCTCTAACCTCTAACATATTCAAACTCTCTTGTGTAAGCTTCTTTGAAGTTATTTTTATTTTATAGAGATCTTTGTAACTTTTCACTTGATTTCTATGGTATCGAATATGTTCCCAAGACCACATTTGTAGCTTAGGTTGGATGTTTACTTCAAGAATGCCATATATAACATATTGCCACCTAATAGAAAAAGAAAAAAAATGTTAGGGCATAATATTACATACAAATTTAATATTTCTTTTTAAATATTAGTATTAGATTAATACTAATTAATTATCAGATATTTTAGTAAAGCAGTCTTCTCAAGTTACTTCATAATTCTTCACTCTCCTCCCAAAGACAGAAAAATTAAACCTATTATTACTTTATTAATAGGGATACTTATGAAATTCTTCCTACCAAGTTTCTCTAATTTTGGAATTCCAATTTATGAGAATATTCTACCAGAAAAACAGTTACAACTGTAGAAGTTTCCAAAAATTATTGAATATATACCATTTCCTGGCACTGTTGTGAACAGGAACATCTGGCCTATATTTCCTATAAGGTAAATTTCGGGTCATCATATCAATTGATTCAAGGAGCTCCATAATACTGAAATACTGCAAGAAAAAAAATGCAAAAAGATACTATTAGTACAGAATAATAATTACAACAAAATGCAAACATTTCTCTTAAAATTATATTATTCAGAGGTCGAACAGATTGGAACATGAAAAGCTTTTATTTTATACTGACGGTAGAATATTTAATTAAAAGTTAAAGTAATAATTATTCCAAGAAAAATCTTTTCATTTGTAGATTTAATCTAATTCAAATTGTTATTTCCAAATCAATACTGATATGAAGAGAGAGAAAGAGATCATACCTGACTTTGCATTCTGCTCTTCATCAAGAACCACACTGGGCACCAACTAACATAAATTAAGTAGTTCTCACAGATTCTAGGAACTATTTCAAGGTAAGGGAGTATCTTCCTTTCATTATATGTGCACGTTTACAAGGGGAAAAAGCTCACCAGAATAGCCCTTGTTGTTGTTTAATCTAGGACGAACAGAATTAACCTGGTACTATGCAATGGACCACTTTGCTATATATATAGTGCAACACCTTGCTCTTACAGAAGCAAAAATTAGAAGGGCAGACAACAGCATGGAACAAATTCAAAGCTGCCAACCGCAGAACACTGTGCTGTTCAGTTACTAATACAGCTGTTTCTCTGACTGAATATCTTCACAGATAACAAATCTGATAGGTAGCACAATATATTTGAATCACTGTGCTAAAGTATATATTGAAATGTCTTCCTAATTACAATCAGGCAAAAAAAGTTTTAAAAAATTATTGGTCCTCCTAAATCTATCCATACTAACCAAGATAACTTTGGTAAGCATCTACTGTCTAGGCATGGTGGACTTGAACAGAACAAAAGAAATTAATTCTTGTACTACATGAAACTCTGTGCACCTTCAGAGCAAATAACAGGGTCAGCTTTATAACCTCTTGATAAGTACAAAAAGATACAAAATGCATACTAGTAAATGTATCTTCTAAAATATACTCCTCCTTCTCAACATAAATTTACACCAACAAAATGCTTCCCAAACTATATTTAATTGCTTCTGGAACAGACTGAGACATAGGAGTACTAGAATAATTCAATAACGTCTGCCACCGCTTTTAAAAAAGAATATACATACAGTACTGTGCAAAAGTTTTAGGCAGGTGTGAAAAAATGCTGTAAAGTAAGAATGCTTTCAAAAATATATATTGTAATTGTTTATGTTTATCAATTTACAAAATGCAAAGTGGGGGCGAGCAGAAAAAAAACCCAAATCAAATCAATATTTGGTGTGACCACCCTTTGCCTTCAAAACAGCATTAATTCTTCTAGGTACACTTGCACATAGTTTTTGAAGGAACTCGGCAGGTAGGTTGTTCCAAACATCTTGGAGA